TGCTATCCCCCCCCAGCTCCCCACCCCCCACCGTCCCTCCCCTATTTCCCCCCAACTGACCCCAGTGTGTAGTGCTCCCCTCCCTTTGTCCATGTGCTCTCGATTGTACTTTCTAACATAAAAACAATAGTGGAAAAATTAGTTGACATAAACAGAGTGCAGATTTTACTTAATACCATTACAAAAGCAAAGGCATTTTTCCACATAAATATCCCCATAAAACAAATGGAACCAAAGAGGAAAGATGACAGGTAACCCCATGACATGCTAAGAAAGTATCATAAATACTTAAGTTGACTTTAATCTTTTATTTCCTTATCCTAAGCAACTTCTTTTCTCTTTATCATTTAGCCTAGTGCTTCTAAACTTTGAAAAGTAAAGAAGTTGCTGCACTAAATAAATCTTATTGAAACGCAGGATCTGATTGAGTGGGGTAGGTGGAATAAGGAAGGGGAAGTTGAGATTCTGCATTTCTTAGAAGCTTCTACATTATGTGAAAATGGCTAACCCATCTCAACACTGAGAAGTCAGGTTTCACTTAATTTCAGCCTGTGGAAGTTTATCCCATATGTACATTTTCTAAAACTCTAATCTCGGGCCCCATGAGTTTCTCCTTTAGTTGAAATATTTTTAGGAATAAATTTGAATTGCATTAATATACAATTTATAAGTGTAACACTCAAAAATTACTTGAAGTTTGAGACTTTAGGTTGAATAAAATCAATTTCGTACTTGAAAATTTTCTATAAATTCAAAAGTCTATACATTTAAGTACAATTTAAATGCCTAAGTTACAATGACATTTGTTTTTCTAGCTCTCTATGCAACATTTCCAGAGTCATCATCCCTATACAGGAAAATTTTTCTCACATGATTTCACGGTAAATTCATTAAATATGATGCTTACTTGGTAATGTCTCCAGGTTCTTTACTACGGAGTGGGTCACTGAAACTTTATGGAACAAATTGGAAATTATCTTCTTAATTAATGTTACTGTCTACCATGTATGGGAATTTGGTAAATATTATATGGGTTTCAATAACATAGTAGATAGAATGTTGTTAAATCTAAACTTAACTTTAGTGAATTGTAACAGATCCCACCTGAAATTCTAAAGAAAACAGAATCCTATTATCATCTATAATCTCTTTTTTTTTGGTTAATTATCATCTATAATGTCTTTTTTTTTTAAATATATATTTTATTGCATTTTAGGTTTTGGGGCACATGTGAAGAACATGCAGGATTGTTGCATAGGTATATACATGGCAATGTGGTTTGTTGCCTTCCTCCCCATCACCTATATCCGGCATTTCTTCCCATGTTATTCCTCCCCAACTCCCCACCCCCCGCTGCCCCCCGCCAATTCCCCCGCCACAGACCTCTGTGTATGATGCTCCCCTCCCTGTGTCCATGTGTTCTCATTGTTCAACACCCACCTATGAGTGAGAACATGTGGTGTTTGATTTTCTGTTCTTGTGTCAGTTTGCTGCGAATGATGGTTTCCAGGTTCATCCATGTCCCTACAAAGGACACGAACTCATCAATTTTTATGGATGCTTAGTATTCCATGGGGTATATGTGCCACATTTTCCCTGTCCAGTCTATCATTGATGGGCATTTGGGTCGGTTCCAAGTCTTTGCTAAACAGTACTGCAATGAACATTTGTGTGCATGTGTCCTTATAATAGATCAATTTATAATCCTTTGGATATATACCTAGTAATGAGATTGCTGGGTCAAATGGACTTTCTAGGTCCTTGAGGAATGGCCACACTGCCTTCCACAATGGTTGAACTAATTTACACTCCCACCAACACTATAAAAGTGTTCCTATTTCTCCACATCCTCTCCAGCATCTGTTGTCTCCAGATTTTTTAATGATCATCATTCTAACTGGTGTGAGGTGGTATCTCAATGTAGTTTTGATTTGCATTTCTCTAATAACCAGTGATGATGAGCATTTTTCATATGTTTGTTGGCCTCATATATGTCTTCTTTTGAAAAGTATTCATATCCTTCGCCCACTTTTGAATGGGTTTGTTTTTTTCTTGTAAATCTCTTTTAGTTCTTTGTAGATTCTGGATATTAGCCCTTTGCTGGATGGGTAGATGCAAAAATTTTTTCCCATTCTGTTGGTTGCCAGTTCACTCTAATGATTGTTTCTTTTGCTGTGCAGAAGCTCTGGAGTTTAATTAGATCCCATTTGTCTATCTTGGCTTTTGTTGCCAATGCTTTTGGTGTTTTAGTCATGAAGTCCTTGCCTATGTCTATGTCCTGAATGGTTTTGCCTAGGTTTTCTTCTAGGGTTTTCATGGTGTTAAGTTTTGTTTGTCTTTAATCCATCTGGAGTTAATTTTAGTGTAAGGTGTCAGGAAGGGGTCCAGTTTCTGCTTTCTGCACACTGCTAGCCAGTTTTCCCAACACTATTTATTAAACAGGGAATCCTTTCCCCATTGCTTGTTTTTGTGAGGTTGGTCAAAGATTAGATGGTTGTAGATGTGTGGCATTGCCTCCGAGGCCTCTGTTTTGGTACCAGTACCATGCTGTTTTGATTACTGTAGCCTTGTAGTATAGTTTGAAGTCTGGTAGTGTGATGTCTCTAGCTTTGTTCTTTTTGCTTAGAATTGACTTGGCTATATGGGCTCTCTTTTGGTTCCATATGAAGTTTAAGGTGGTTTTTTCCAGTTCTGTGAAGAAGGTCATTGGTAGCTTGATGGTGATAGTGTTGAATCTATAAATTACTTTGGGCAGTATGGCCATTTTCATGATATTGATTCTTCCTAACCATGAGCATGGAATGTTTCTCTGTCTGTTTGTGTCCTCTCTTATTTCGTTGAGTAGTGTTTGTAGTTCTCCTTGAAGAGGTCCTTTACATCCTTTGTTAGTTGTATTCCCAGGTATTTTATTCTCTTTGTAGCAATTGTGAATGGCAGTTCGTTCTTGATTTGGCTCTCTTTAAGTCTGTTATTGGTGTATAGGAATGCTTGTGATTTTTGCACATTGATTTTGTACACTGAGACTTTGCTGAAGTTGCTTATCAATTTCAGGAGATTTAGGGCTAAGACAATGGGGTCTTCTAAATATACAGTCATGTCATCAGCAAATAGAGACAATTTGACTTCCTCCTTTCCTAATTGAATACCCTTTATTTCTTTTTCTTGCCTGATTGCTCTGACTAGAACTTCCAATACTGTATTGAATAGGAGTGGTGAAAGAGGGCAACCCTGTCTAGTGCCAGATTTCAAAGGTAATGCTTCCAGTTTTTGCCCATTCAGTATGATATTTATTGGCTGTGGGTTTGTTGTAAATAGCTTTCATTATTTTGAGATAC